GCCCAAGCACTTGGGCCATCCTCCACTGCACTCCCTGGCCACGTCAAAGTGCTGGCCTGGAAGAGGGGCAACCAGGACAGAATCTGGCACTCCGACCGGGACTAGAACCCGGTGTGCCGTCGCCGCAAGGCGGAGGATTAGCCTAGTGAGCCGCGGCACCGCCTAGGACAGTTTCTTAAAAACTAAACGTGCACATTCCATAAGAACCAGCAACTGCACTCATGGGTATGTATCTGCGAGAAAACGTGAATTCACACAGAAATGGCTACATGGATGTTCACGGCAGCTTTATTTACGATATCCCCACAACAGGAAATGACCCAAACGTTCTCCAATTAAACAAACTAGTATATCCACATTATGAAATACTATTCAGAAATAAAAATGAATGAACTACTGACACATATGACTTAGATGGAACTCAAAGGAAGGCCACAGGAGAGATCTGGTCGCCAATAATAAAAATTTACATACCGCCCGACCGGATCCTCCGGCCTCCGCCAGCAGCCTCAGCAGCAGGAGCAGCGGCAGCAGCGGCGACGACGACGACCGGAAGCGGGCGAAGGCGGGAGCCAGAAGGAGTTCGGGAAGCGGGTCGGCCGGAAGTGACGATATGGGGCGGGACCGTGTCCTGGGGGCGGTGCCCGCTCCGGTGGGCGGGACAGGGTGCGGGAGGGGAGCTGAGTGAGGTGTTTTGGAGCCAGGCCGGGGCTGGCGGTGAGCTTTCTCGGTGCTTAGTCGTCAGCGCTGCTTGAGCTGACTTCGGTGTCCCATCCGTTAAAAGTGTGGTTTTACTCCTAACTGTTCATTGTGAAATACAAGCTGTGCTTGCACTATGTGTTTTTTAAAAATTAAGCAGAGCAGAAAGGGTTAAGGCGCCACTTTCTCCATGGTCTCCCAGGGACCACCACTCACGCCAGAGGCCATCCCTGTAGAAACACAAAAAGCGACCCACGTAGCAACGTTAGCAAGCAAGAGCCCACCAGCCGTCCGCGCCACAGGGGTACCCTGTCAGAGGTGAGCCGTGGCTCGGGAGAGGACTCCCGGCACGCGAGGGACCTGGAGAAATCCGCCTCTGCGCTCTGCTCTTGTCACGGGGATTCTCGAACCTCTTGGTCTCACGGCCTCTTAACATTCTTAGAAAATATCGCGGATTTCAAAGAGCTCTTTCTTGTGTAGCTTGTATCTGCTGATCGTTTCTGCATTGGAAGTCAGTACGGAGAAGCTTTTTAAATGTCCATGGATTCTGGGTGTGAAGTGGGTAAAATTCCCCTCCAGGTTTTATTACTCAATGTTATCAGTCTGGGTAGCCCACTCGGTGCTGGGCAGAGAGGATTCTCCGGGGGAGCTTTCCCTGGGCGTGGGGGAAGGCTTGGGGCCACCTGTAGTGGCTTTGTAGTGTAAAATCCTGGCTGCTTCCAGGTGTGCTACTGAGGCTGCTGCAGGCCGCTGCATGCCCTTCTGCAGGTGCTCTGTCTTCCTTTCACACACACAGGCTAATTTCTATCTCCCTGCTGAACAGCGTTACCCTTGTCTGTTCCCACCAGGAATATAGGGAGGCTCCGATTTTCCCATATCCCTTGCCAACACTGTTAATACCTGTCTGTCTCTCAGTCAATGTGAAGTGGTAGCTTGTGGTGCTTTCAGTTTGCATTCTCCTAATGATAAGTTATGTTGAGTCTCTTCATGTGACTGTTGGCTATTCCAGGGTAGGTCTTCTTTAGAGAAATGTCTGTTCAAGTCATTTGCCTTTTTTTTTTTTTTTTTTTTTTTTGGTCAGGCAGAGTGGACAGTGAAAGAGAGAGACAGAGAGAAAGGTCTTCCTTTTTCTGTTGGTTCACCCTCCAATGGCCGCCGCGGCCGGCGTACCGCGCTGATCCGATGGCAGGAGCCAGGTACTTACCCTGGTCTCCCATGGGGTGCAGGGCCCAAGCACTTGGGCCATCCTCCACTGCACTCCCGGGCCACAGCAGAGAGCTGGCCTGGAAGAGGGGCAACCACAACCGGGACAGAATCCGGTGCCCCGACCTGGACTAGAACCCGGGGTGTCAGCGCCACAGATGGAGGATTAGCCTAGTGAGCCGCGGTGCCGGCCATTTGCCCATTTTTAAATTGGGTTATTTGACTTTTTATTAGTGGAGTTTAAAATACCTTTATATATCCAGAATACTAGAGCCTCATCACATTTACTGTTTACAGACGGCTGGTGGGCTCTTGCTTGCTAACGTTGCTACGTGGGTCGCTTTTTGTGTTTCTACAGGGATGGCCTCTGGCATGAGTGGTGGTCCCTGGGAGACCAGGGAGAAAGTGGCGCCTTAACCCTTTCTGCTCTGCTTAATTTTTAAAAAACACATAGTGCAAGCACAGCTTGTATTTCACAATGAACAGTTAGGAGTAAAACCACACTTTTAACGGATGGGACACCGAAGTCAGCTCAAGCAGCGCTCCCATTCTGTGGTGCCCTGAGTGGGGGTGGGGGATAGAGGGCTTGTCTCTGATGGGGTTTCTGTAATGAGAGCCAGACCAGCTCTTTCACTGGGGATCCCCAAGGTCAGTGTCCTACTGGTCCTTGTTCCCCAGGGAGCCCAGCTGAGGCTGAAAGGGAAGGAGTACAGAGACTGTAGAGCAGCGCCCAGCTGTTTTCAGCATTTGAGGTGTGAACCAACAAATGGGAGATCTCTCTCTCTCTTTCTCTCCCTCCCTCTCCCTCCTCCTCCCTGTACCCTCCCTTCCCAATAAATAAAAATAATTAATTTTTAAAAAGGACTTGAGCCAGCCCTCCTCTTGCTAGCTGATCCTGCATCCCTGACTACAGACACCGTGGAGCCTGAGCTTCATGTCTGCCTGGGGATCTGTGATGAGAAGTGGCCTTTTTCCTGTTAGCTGCTCCATCTCCACTTTTCCCAGTCTGCAAGACAAGTCAGTATTTGTCTCTGCCTTGCTTTCCAGCTTCCAGCTTCCGCTAGTCCACCTGCCATACCTGTTCCTGACTTTTCAGTCCTTATGGATTTATGTCTTTTTAAAAAAATTTCCTCGGGGTCGGCGCTGTGGCTCACTTGGTTGATCCTCCGCCTGCAGCACCGGCATCCCACATGGGTGCCGGGTTCTGGTCCCGGTTGCCCCTCTTCCAGGCCAGCTCTCTGCTGTGGCCTGGGAGGGCAATGGAGGATGGCCCAGGTGCTTGGGCCCTGCACCCACATGGGAGACCAGGAGGAAGCACCTGGCTCCTGGCTTCGGATAGGCAAAGCTCTGGCCATAGTGGCCATTTGTGGGGGTGAACCAATGGAAGGAAGACCTTTCTCTCTGTCTCTCTCTCTCACTGTCTAACTCTGTCAAATTAAAAAAAAAATTTTTTTTAATTAAAAAAATTCCCTGTACATTCATTTTAGAAGGCTTAATGGTAGAGAAGAGATAAAACACAGATGTTTAATCTACCATGTTTCATTTAAAGTAGAGGGCAAGTGTTTTTTGCAACAACAGAAATAGTTTATTCAGAGAAGCAGGTGCTGAAAAGAGCTTGGGTGAAGTAGAAGAATGGACACAGGCTGGGCCTCCAGGAACAACCTTTAGAACCTCACAGAGCGGGCCGGCGCCGCGGCTCACTAGGCTAATCCTCCGCCTTGCAGTGCCGGCACCCCGGGTTCTAGTCCCGGTCGGGGCGCCAGATTCTGTCCCGGTTGCCCCTCTTCCAGGCCAGCTCCAAGTGCTTGGGCCCTGTACCCCATGGGAGACCAGGAGAAGCACCTGGCTCCTGCCTTCGGATCAGCATGGTGCGCCGGCCTCAGCGCGCCGGCCACGGCAGCCATTGGAGGGTGAACCAACGGCAAAGGAAGACCTTTCTCTCTGTCTCTCTCTCTCTCACTGTCCACTCTGCCTGTCAAACAAACAAACAAACAAACAAACCTCACAGAGCAGCTCCCTGAACCAGAATCAGGAAACTGGGAAACAGACTGCTGTCCCAACTACCACCACATAAGTGGATGTCTGGAGCGACACTCCTCTCTCCCCACTTCACTTGTTTTTAAAATATTTTTATTTATTTATTTATTTGAGAGGTAGAGTTACAAACAGTGAGAGGGAGAAACAGAGAGAGAGGTCATCCATCTGCTGGTTCACTCCCCAGATGGCTGTATGGAACCAGTGCCCATTAGGATGCAGAGGATTAACCTACTATGCCACACTGCCGGCCCCCTTCGCTCAGTTTTAATTCAGGTCTTGAGTGAGGACTTGAAACACGTTGCTACAGAGGAACATGAAAGATGTTATGTTAGATTTCCAGCGCTTGCGTTATAAGGAAGGAAGTTAGAGCCAGAAGGAAGTGAGTACAGGTTGCGAGCACACTGTAAAAAGTAAGAAAGCGTGTGACACCAACGTGTCTCGGCTGCACAGGGTGCGCTGCCCTCGCCTTTCTCACCTCAGCTGGTTTCCTTCCTGAGGGCCTTGGGGAGTACTCTCTTACAGTGTCCCCACCTTGCCTTGGCTCGGGGTCAGCAGACACTTCCCATGAAAGGTCAGAAAGGGAATGCTGGAGACTTTCCAAACCAAACTGTTTTGAAGCTATTCAACGTGCAGCTATTCAATGCAGGGCAAAGCAGCCAGGTCGCTGGGTGTCTGAATGTGTAACACTTTCCTTACCAGCAACAGTGTGGCCTGTGGCCATGATGGAAGACCATGCCTTTGCTTGTACTGTCCACTGAGCGAACGCCTAATGAACAGCCACTGTGTGTCAGGCACAGTTCTGGGGCTGAGGGAATGTAGCCATGAAGAAGACACACGGGGTCCTGCTGATCCCTCCCTCCTCCACCTCCCGCCCCGCCCCGTCCCTGGCTAACTCACACTTATATTTAATATTCAGGGCAGGTGGGCTGCCTTTGACTTTCTTCTTTCCAGTAGCTGTCGT